TGCCATTTTTAATCTCTCAACACCCATTCTTGATAAAAACTTTCAGTAAAGTGGAATAGAGAGAGTATATCTCAATATGATAAAGGCCAAATATGACAAACCTACAGCGACATCATACTCAATGGGCAAAAACTGAAACCATTTCCCCTAAGAACAGGAATAAGACAGGATGTCTGCTTTCACCACTCCTATTCAACACAGTACTGATAGTCCTTGCCACAGCAATCAGAAAGGAAGAAGAAATAAAAGGCATTCAAAAAGAAAAGGAGGAAATAAAGCTCTCATTATTTACGGATGACATGATATTGGACACAGGAACCCTAATGTCTCCACCAAAAAACTATTGGATTCAGTAAATGAATTTGGCAATGTAGTAGCATACAAAATCAGCACCCAAAAATCAATGGCTTTTTATGCACCAATAATGAATTCTCAGAAAGAGAAACTAAACAAACAATCCCATTTAACATTGCAGCAACAATAAAATAAAAAAATCAAAATACTTAGGAATAAACTTAACCAAGGAGGTAAAAGACTTGCACTCAAAAACTACAGGAAATTGAAAAAAGAGATAGAGGAAGATATAAACAAGTGAAAAAATATACTATGTTCATGTGTTGGTAGAATTAACATAATTAAAATGTCCATTCTACTCAAGGCAATCTTCAGATTCAATGCAATACCTATTAAAATACCAGATCTAAAAGAAATGCTCCAAAAATTTATGTAGAACCAAAAAAGACCTTGAATAGCTACAGCAATCTTGAGAAAGAAGAACAAAGTGGAAGGAGTCACAAACCAGATTTCAAGTTATGCTATCAAGCTGCCATAATCAAAACAGCCTGGTACTGGCACAAGAGCAGGCATCTAGACCAATGGAATAGAACAGAGAACCCAGAAATAGACCCAAGCTGTTATGCTCAATTAATATTTGACAAAGGAGGCAAGAACATACATTGAAGTTAAGACAGTCTCTTCAATAAGTGGTATTTGCAAAATTGGATAGATACATGCAAAAAGAAAAACCAACTTACACCAGAAATAAACTCAAAATGGATAAGACACTTAATGTAAATGGTGAAACCATAAGATTCCTAGAAGAAACCATAGGCTGAAAATCTCAGACATCTCTTGTAGCAATATGTTTACAGATACATCTTCTAGGGCAAAGGAAACTAAGGAGAAAATAAACAAATGGGCCTACATCAAAAAAAGCTCCTGCACAGCAAAGGAATCCATCAACAAAACGAAACAGGAGCCCACGGTGTGTGAGGACATATTTGGCAATGAAACATCTGATCAAGGGTTAATATACAAATATATAAGGAACTCATACAACTTAACAAAAGGAAGACAAACAATCCAATTAAAAGATGAGCTCAAAGTCACTGATCAGCAGAGAGATGCAAATTAAAATGACAATGAGGCATCACCTCACACCTGTCAGAATGGCTACCATCAACAAATCAACAAATGACAAGTGCTGGGGAGGATGTGGAGAGATCATTATAAAAACAGCATGGAGCTTTTAATTTTAAAAAATTAAATATGGAATTGCCATTTGTCCCAGTGATCCCACTTCTAGGAATGTATCCTAAGAAACCTGAAACATCTATCAGAAAGAATGTATGCATCCCTATGTTCATAGCAGCACAATTTATAATAGCTAAGATTTGGAAACAGCCTAAGTGCCCTTCAACAGATGAGTGGATTAAAAAACTGTGGTACATTAACACAATGGAAAACTATGCAGCAATAAAAAGAAGAATCTCTAACCCTTTGAGATAGCATGGAGGGACTGGGAGAGTATCATGCTAAGTGAAATAAGTCAGTCAGAGAAAGACAAGTATCACATGATCTCACTCATATGTGGAATCTAAATAACAAAATAAACTGATGAACAGAGTGGATCCAGAGTCATTGGAAGCATGGAACAGAGTGGGGAATCTCAGAGGGAAGGTGGGGGAGGGTGGGAGGTAATAAATCAAACAGCTTGTATACATATATGCAAAACACATAAGACACAGACAATAGGGTGGTGAAGGCCTGGTTAGGGGGCGGGGGCAGGTTGGAGAGGGTCAATGGGCAAAAAGGGGGGGCATATGTAATACTTTCAACAATAAAGATTAAAAAGAAACAAACCAACCTCATCGTCACTGATTACCAGAGGGAAATGGGTAAGGGGGAAGGTAGAAGAGAGTAAAGAGGGGATGAACGATGACGGAAGGAGGCTTGACTTGGAGTGGTGAACACACAGTGCAATATACAATGATGTGTTACAGAACTGTACACCTGAAACCTATATCGTTTTATTAACCAATGTTATCCCAATAAATTCAACTAAAAGAGAAAAAAGAATTCCCAACCTGGAGCAGACAGAGGCAGAGGGAGAGATAAAGCGCTATAAAAAGGTGCAGAAGTGGAGCAAGGGGGGCCAAAGACAGAGAGACAGACAGGGGAAGGTGTGTAGTGACTGCAGATGAGGCACATGGAAGGGAAGGGGCTGCCAAGATAAGGGCCCAGTACAAACAGACAGACAATTAAGGGCAATAAAATGAGGAGCCAGCAGAAGTGGGGTCAATACTGTGACTGAAATGGGGCCCAGATTAGGATGAATGCCTAGTCACCTCCACATCCATCACAATGCCCAGGGACAGCTCAGAGCAGAGACTGGAAACAGCCCTCCATGAATTTGACCCCTTGCTAGGAAGCAATATGGGAACTTCCATGTGCATATTCACATGCATATCCCTAGTGATCCCTGTCCTCAGAAACCTACAGGCCAGGAAATGAGGTAGAGAATGCAATACCCCAGGAAAAGTACAAATGCTATACTGCAGTTCTGATGCAGAGACTACTATCTGAGATCGTAACAAATGGATAAAATTTGGGCATTTGAGCGATAAAGCGAAGATCTTAACCTTCTTCACCATCTCTCTCCAGTCGGTTAAACAGGCTGCCTAACAGCCTGCTGGACAGAAAGGAAGTCCTGGAGACAGAGGCAACCCCACAGATGCCTGCAGAGTGGATGGTCCCCTAAGACAGTTCTGGTCTCTCTGCCCCAGATTATACCATAACAACCACAGTTCCTTTCAAACCACCAAGGCTCAATGCCACCCCTCATACACCCACCCACATGTGACTAAAGAAAATTGGCCTCAGGATATGCAATATATAAGCAAGACACTGTGCAAGTGGCCAGTTCTAATTTCTACGTGACATCACACTATTGATGATGCTAAGTCTACACAAGTGTGCCATGTGCTACTAAGCCAACATCACAAGATCCCAATTCATGTAAAACACATTCCCAATCCCATTTCTTTGCTATTTACTCCCATGAAACATGACTGATTTTTTAACTGATATATAAACACATTAAAAAAAATATATTCATATCCTGTTACCCAATCATCAATTAACCAACATTGAATTTCTGGATTTATTTCTTCTCAAGAAACCTCTTCTCTCTTTATTGTTGTTAAATGTATTTTTACTGATTTCAGAGTGGAAGGGTGGGAGAGATAGAAACATCAATGATGAGAGAGAATAATTGATCGGCTGCCTCCTGTACACCTCCTACTGAGAATGGAGCCTGCAACCCAGGCACATGCCCTGACCGGGAATCAAACAGATACCTCCTGGTTCATAGTTCGATGCTCAACCACTTAGCCACACCGGCCAGGCCCCTGCTTTCATTTTTCAATTATCTTGTCTCTGCTCTAACTAAAGTTCCTGGCCTGGACTCAGAGCCAGCCAACTTGACACAGACCTGAGTGTGGACAACACTCCCAGAAAGAAGTCTGTGAGAGGTCCGTGGCCCCCGCCCCTATGTCAGAAGAGGGTTCCCCCACCAGCACTCAGACCTCTCTCTGGGGAGACCTGGGTGCAAGTCCACACTCCTCCCACATGGCAGACCCCCCAGTTTGCTGGGGCAGGGGCCTCCCAGCGCAGCACAGGAAAGAGGAGTCCGGAGCATGTGCCCAAAGGTGGGGTGTTTATGAACAGGTACAGGCAGAGCAGGCATGCACTTCCAGAACACCATAAAGGCAACCTAATGCTGTTGCCCAGTTAGCCTCTGCACATACAATAAAGCAAACTCACCTATAAGCTTCCAGTTTAGTTTCTACTGAAACTGAGGCTCAGGGAACGTCATATCTTACAAGTGATTGGTGAGACTATCTGCTTACACCTTCAAAGAATGCTTGTCCTTCACACTTCCGCTTACGTGTAAAACCCTCACCACAAAAGTGTTAGCCAATAGACCTAGGTGAGCTTTTGGAATGGGTTTCTGGATTGTATGATGGCAGCTCTTAAGTCAGCTCTCTTTTACCTAACTCTTTAAGAAATCATAAACCCTAACCCTAGCCCTGGCCAGTGTGACTCAGTTGGTTCGAGTGTGCACCAAAGGGTTGGTGAGTTCAATTCCTGGTTGGAGCACATACCCAGCTTTCAGGCTCAATCCCCTATTGGGACGTGTGAAGGGAAGCAGCTGATCAACATTTCTCTCTCACATTTCTTTCTTGCTCTCTCTCTCTCTCTCTCTCTCTCTCTCTCTCTCTCTCTCTCTCCTTCCCTTTCTCTCAAAAAAAAATCAATAAAATTAAAAAATCATAAACTCTAGACTAAATCTAACAGCCTAAACTTCCATTCGTCCTACCTGATCAAATTACAAGAGGGCCAGTCAAGACAAGAACTCCATTCCTTATGTCTGAAATTCTGATCATAAGATTGCAACGAAGCCCTATAGGGACAGGTGTACTGTGGAGAAATAAGGAAGGTTAAAAAAATGGAAGTGCATGTGCCCGTTGGGCAATGGACCCTTTTGAAAGGGATTAGTTGAATAAAGTGGGCATCTAGGTTGGCAGTGGTACTACCTCCATGAGCAGGCCAACCCCTTCTCCCATGGCCAGGCCACCTCTCAGAGCTCAGCCCCGGGACAGCCCGTGGGTCTGCGGTGTGTGGGGAGGGGTGGGGAGGGGGGACGAGGTCCGGCTCACCCTTCGACCCGCCTCGTTGTTCTGCAGGTTCATAAGCACCCGGCCCTGCTCCTCCGATCCCTTGGCAAAGTTCTTCTCCCGCTCCCGGGCATCCACAAACTCCTTAGCAAACCGGTAGCCGTACTCCACGTTGTCCCCACAGCCGCCCCACAGCCAGTCCCGGGGAAGGTCCTTGGGCCTCGCTGTCCTGCTGCAGCCGCATGTGGACAGCTCGCCCTCTCGGCAGGCCCTGCTGATGGCGTTCACCACCCCCGCGGCGCTCACGGCATAGGTGAAGGCCGTCTCCCGGCTCCCTGCAAGACAAGGCAAGACGGGGCGAAGGAGGTCAACTCTCTGGCGGAGGCTTCCTCCCCTCTGCCTCCTCCACACCCACGCCGCCACAGCCTCACCGCAACACTCCCATGAGTGGCCTTTCACTTCGCGTGACTCTAATGGTTTGAAATTTCTCTGGATAATGAGCTGAACTTTATCTACTCTGCCCTACCGTATGCCAAACAGAGCGACTCCCCCGCAGCCCTGGGCTTACACTCACATCCATTGCAGTTTATAAGACCAGCAGATTCCTAGGAGGCAGACCTCAACACAGGAGAGAGTGGTCATTGAGGAATTTAGGAAACCCCTGAGACCAAGAGAATGAGACTAAACAGAAATCATGGGACTAAGAACAGGACTCTATTCTCACAAGTATCTCTCCCTTACAGATGGCAATTTTCCCGCCATGAGCCACACATATGTCCTTTTATTGCTACCATTATCTAGCAAGGCAGAGGCAGAGAGCAGGAGTAGAAAGTGTCTGGGGGTCTTCGGCAGGGTCCACACTGCCTCCCAAGCCCCCAGCACCGGGAACCACATCTACGGGCCCTCAGCAGGTCTCTCCAAATACCAGCATCATTTCTAGTAGAAAAGCCGAAGTGTGTTCCTCTATTGCTGTAGTGAACCACTTGAAAACTCAGATGATATATGCTCTAATTCAATAAAAATGTTTACAAAAAATTATACTCAGCCACCAGGGAAATGCAAATCAAAATCACAATGAGACACCACTTCACACGCATGAGTATGGCGATCATCAAAATGTCAGCTAAAAAGTTGGGGGGAATATAGAAAAAACGGGAACCCTCGTGTACTGCTGGTGGGAATGTTCAATGGTACAGCTGCTTTGGAAACGGTCTGGCAGCTCCTCAAACATACAATTACCACATGACCCTGCAATTCCATTCCTAAAATATATCCAAGATAAAGGAAAACATCTGTCTACATAGAAACTTATACATGAATGTTCACTGTAACGTTATTCATTAAAAAACTCACATTGTCCATTAGCAGGTATACGGGTAAACAAAAGGTGGTCTTATCCATACAGCGAGATACTACTTAGCCATAAAAAGTAATGAAGTACAGTCCTGTTTGGTATGCCTCAGTTGGTTTAGTGTCATCCCATACACCAGACGGTTCCAGTTCAATTCCTGGTCAGGCTACATTACCCGGGGGTGGGTTCAATCCCCAGCTGAGGTGCATTCGGAAGGCAACCCATTGAAATTTCTCTCTCACATCGATGTTTCTCTCTCTCTTTCTCCCTCTCTCTTCCTCTAAAAATCAACAAAAACGTATTTTAAAAACATACTGTATTAAAAAATTAATTAAGTACAGGTAGAACACGGATGAGCCTTAAAATGATTATGCTAAGTGACCATTTAACATTTTGTTGTCTATACTGCACCTTATATAAAAGGCTACATACGATCCCGTTTATATGAAATGTTCATAATATGAAAATTCATAAAGACAGAAAGCTTAGTGGTTACCTAGGGTTTGGGGAGAAGGGGAGAGAAATAAAGAGTGATCTCTAATGGGTATGCAATTTGTTTATAGGGTTCTGGAATTAGATAGCAGTGCTATCTAATTGCACAGTCTTGTGAATATACACTGAACTGTATATTATTCATTTATCTTTCAATAAAGAAATAAGACATAACATTCATATGAACTCAGTAATGTAAGGAAGCAAGTAGCTTTTAGTGGGAAACTGAGATTCAATCCTGATCTCAGCTGTTAAACCAGACAGAATTTCTGCTCTCCATGGTCAGAAGTATGACAGACCACGATTCTGTCTTGGCAGGTGGAGAGGGAAGCAGTCTGTAATTAGTAGGTCTACAGTGATCTCCGCCTTACCCTACGTTTGGATTATCTAGGCATAACACAGTGAAGTTTGCAACCAGACCACACGGGAAAATTAGTTTTTCTCAACTAACCCGGGGCCAGCTGTCAGGAGTAGCCCAAGAGAACCCAGGGTTGGAGGAAGTCACACCCATGACTCAGCCATCAGGCTTAACGTGTGAATCAGCGCTGGACCACTGCCAGAGACCGGGGCCGATCGGTCTGGGGGAGTCAGACTGTGAGCGTGAGCTCCCAGGACGTAAGAGGCTCTTAGGCAGGAGGGAGTCAGGCCTGAGAACTCTTCCCAGAAGGCTGAGCTGGCTCCCGGGCAGGAAGGAGCCTGGGAAGCTGCCGTCCAGAGCCACATTCCACCCGTGAGAGCACTCCTTTTATAGCATTCCTCAGAGAGGGGGCTGGGTTCTCAAGGCAGCCCATTCCCCCTTCTGTAGTGACTCTGGTCACCAGAGCATCCTTATGTGAAGCTCAAATAGGCTTCCCTATAATGTCTGCCTGCTGGAGAGGCACATCTAATCCCTTTTCCATATGACAGCCCTTCAGCGTTTGAGAACAACGAAGATGCCTCTTATTCGTTCTCTTTTCTGAGCTACATATGTCTGATTTCTTCTTCCATTCTTTAGCAAACGTGTTTTTCAGAGCTGAGTCACCCCTCTCAGAACTGCCTTTTAAAACAGGGGGCCTGCGGCTGGGCGTGGTATCGCAGGCAGTACGTGCTCTGAGGGTCCTCGCCTGGCAGCATGGCTGGGACCCCAACCTGTCCTCATGAGCTGTCTCCTGCAGTCATCCTGCCTCTTTCGGCGGGGCCTGCTCAGGGCCTACGTGCAGGTGGCTCTGCCTCCATGGGCAGCACGGGGTCTCAGGAAAGCTTGGTAAGTGAGGCTAGTGCTCTTCTCAGAAAGCAAAAATGGATAAGCGTGGGCGAAAGGTGTCTATATATGAAACAATTCAGAGTGGAAACTCAAATCATATCAAGGAAAAAGGCTGTTAAACCAGCAGCTACAAAAAAGACCTTCCTCTGGTAGGACGACAGGAGCCAGCAGGATAGTATACACCCTCTCTGTTCCAACCGTCAGGAGGTTCCTCCATGCTCCTCTCGGCTCCCCCTGAGCTGCTCTGCAGCCGCTTCAAAGAAGGAAGGGATCTTGGGAGGTCACACACAAGCCAGCGGTGAGAGGACCCACCAGGGGGGATGGAGGACAGCTTCCTGGGGAAGATACAGGGAAGCCCCAAAAAGGAATGGTGGAAATAAAGCAGACAGATAGGGCCTGCTCTCACAAGCCACCCCACCACGCAAACCTGTCCCCAGCAGCGCTTCTACTCCTGCCAACACTTTTCTTTCTAGAGTAAAAGAGTAAAGCCTCACTTTTTGGCCTTCACTCAAACAACACAACACATGGAAGGGATCTGGCCAACATCAGGCATACATTAGGTTATTCCCTTAAAGTGATTAGGGGTGCCGCTCTCTGTGCCCAGGCCATCCTTGTACCCTCACCGGAAACCCAGGACAGAGGGTGCTGCTGACCGAGATCTTTACCGGGAAGAAGGGACAGATACTCAGTATATTTGAGAAGAACTGATAAATGATCACCAAATCTCACTTAACCCTTACGTCCGTTCTTTTGGGAAAGCTGCCCAGGAAGACTGTCACGAGAACACGAACATCCCTTTGTGAATCTCGAGTTGACACTGAAGGGAGGTTCACAGTGTCCTTTCCCCTCGTCCTTACTTCTCAATGTGGGGGGAGGGAGGGGAAAGAGGTCAAGCAGGGGGAGGGGAGCTGCCAAGTATAGAGGGGAACTGAATCTCTAACTGCCTGCTGCTAAAATAATTCTTTGGGAAAACTGCAGCCTTGGGTAACTCCAGAAAGTCTTTTAGGGGAAGCTGTTCTGAGAGAATGTGAGATAGAAACTTCAGTGCTCTCACACCTTCCTTTTATGGCCCTGGAATAAGACCCAGCAGAAGAAGGCCGGATTTCTCAATTTCTTGCCAGGGAGAGGAGAATTACATTTCAAAAGGACCTAAAACAATTAGACCCCAGATCACACCTCCATCTAAGCAATAGGGCAGCGAAGGAATCCTAGACCAGGAGTGGCAGAGGGGAGAGAGCTGGAATCTGGGGAGAGTGGCCCTCTCATCTTTCTTCTTCAGTCTGTCCCCTGCCCCCACTTTCACACACAGCCTTTCAATGAAAAAGCCAGGACTGGATCTGGGTTGGATTAATGACAGCTATCACCAATTTGGCCCAAAGTTCCTATCTCTCTCGGGGTCCGAGTGAAAGAGGCAAAAAGCTTACAGACTTTCAGGGCAAGGCTCTCAAAGGAGGCCCTTGTGCTATGTGAGACAAAGGGCACTGGCGGTGGGCGGCTTCCCAGTTCTCTCTAACTCAACTCAGATGCTCTGAGCCCTTCCCAGAGTGAGTCACGCCGGCTGCCCAGACAGGGCGAAGCTGGAAGAGAGGGTTAGCGGAGCACCGCGCTGTGCGGCTGACACATCCTCTGAGAGAGACGCCGCTGTCTGTGTGCATCTCTCTGCCCCCTCACAGGCCAATGCCAAGCCACCAGAAAACCCAGTGAGACACTCCAGGGGGCTCTCTCTGCCCATCCCGGGAGAGCATGCGCACACCCAGGCCAGGTGAGCACAGCTCCTTCAGCCCAGCCATGTCCATGGCTGCTTACCGATCTGCATGACCCTCCCGAAGACGGAGGTGTCGTCCACGGTGCTGCAGTTCCACCGCCTCTGCCGGAACTGGTGCTGGCACTCCTTGATGCCCATCTTGGCTCCCTCCCCTATGTAGGCCATGTGCTCCTGGTACAACTGGCACAGCTTCCTCTGGCCCGGGGAGAGCCCCGGGAGCTGGCTGCACACAGGCTGGGCACCGATGATGAACATCTCAGGTCTCTGCACCGGGTTCATAGCTAACGACCTACAGCAGCAATTCAGAAAGGTGACAGGAGTGAGCACGTGCCTGCGTACAACAGTAAGTCATTCATCCAACACGTTTATTGAGTGCTTTCTGTGAATAAGACCAGGCAATGAGGGCTGGGAAAAGGAAATCGGGGAGCCCTGGACAACGTGGCTCGATGGTTGGACTGTCATCCAGTACACTGTAAGGTCATGGGTTCAATTCCCATCAGGACACATACCTACGTTGTGGGTTCGATCCCTGGTCAGGGTGCCTACAGGAGGCAACCAATTGATGTGTCTCTCTCACATCAGTGTCTCTCTTTCTCGCTTCTCTTTCTCCCTCACTAAAATCAATAAAGGAAATTGGGGAAATTGAGGCATGAACACAGGTGACATGTGAGATATCAGATGCCTAAGACAGACCTGAGCTTCTGGATCCAGAGTGATCTGATAGAGGAAGAGTTCTTACAGCTGGGAGAGGAGCTTTTTGTAAAAATATTTAATTTTAAATTTCTACTTTTAATCCTCACCTAAGGACATTTTCATTGATTTTTAGAGAGAGGGGAACGAAGGGAGAAAGAGAGAGAAACATCAATCAGATGACTCCTGTTCGTGCCCTAACTGAAGCCAGGGGTGAGCCTGACAAGGGAAGGAATCTGAGACCTTCCAATGTTGGGACAATGCTGCCACCAACTGAGCCAGCAGCCTGGGCTGGAGGAGTGTGTAAGGAGAGGGCCGGGAGAGGGTGGGGCGGGAGGAGGAGGAGACAGACAGGGCAGGCTGTATTCATGTGAGGCAGAGGGCAAAGAGAGCCAACAGGAGAGCACAGGCCTTACTCCAGAGGAGGAGTGATTCGCTCGCGGGGCCTACATGCAGGATGTGCGATGGAAAGCAATACATCCCTTAACGAGGACTTCCCCTTGCACCTTTAAATCTAATCCAATTTACATGCATTGCAATATTTCCTAAATGTTTTCACTTCCGTATCTGACCCGCACATCCCCTAATCCACTCTTTATCTGCTTAAGGGCTCTCTCCCTTTGGCTCATCATTCACCAGACACAATGAAGGGTGAAGTTAGATGAAAAGGCTGTACAACTGTCATCTGAGTAAAAATCTGAGCAGGGCACAGTCTATGCAAAGCAGGTGGTGAGTGCCTGCCATTTCCATGTTGACTTGGCAATGACAATAGTCTTTAAAACACAAAAAGAAAGACACACATGATCCTACAAATCCCTCATCCTGTCATCAGACTTATAAAATAGAAATTCTACTCTCCTTGCCCCTACCAGCAAAAAAATAAATAAATAAAATAAAAATCATCCGCCGAAACCGGTTTGGCTCAGTGATTAGAGCGTCAGCCTGCAAACTAAAAGGTCCCGGGTTCGATTCCGGTCAAGGGCATGTACATTGGTTGCGGGCACATCCCCAGTAGGGGGCGTGCAAGAGACAGCTGATGGATGACTCATTGATGTTTCTAACTCTCTTTCCCTCTCTCTTCCTCTCTGTAAAAAATCAATAAAATATATATATATATTTTAAATCATCCAATAGCAACAAAAGAGGTATTTTTAACCACCCATAGCAATGGCAATAGAGCCAGGAAAAGGGGAATGCAGACTGGATCAAAGAAAAAGCCAAATGAACTAACCCTTTATCCTGTGGCACCTTTACTTCTGGGGGCCTGAGAGAGAAAAGGGCTGTGCTGGATTTCCTGGGATAAAAGAGGGCCTCGGGACTCCTGTGACTAAAGGAATGATCACGACCCACCGTGACCTTCTCCACATTTAATTACCAAAGGGGGCGTGGGTTATGAAGTAGGACCTCTGCCCCTCACTCACCACCAGGAGCTGGCTTCGGCCGGGAGCTGCGCCCAGCTGGAGAGCAGCGCAGCGGCGAGCAGCAGCAGGCCGGGCATGGTCGGCCTCAGCCCTCCCCAGTGTCTCGGGAGGACCCCGGAGACTGCCAGCTTCCAAAACGCGGCTCCCTGAGGAAACAGAAATGGGGGAGAGTCAATGTGGAAATGCAACAGAGAAGGGAGGCCCAGGAGACAGGGGAGTGAGCTCTGGGCTGGACCTAATCTCACTTTCTGCTCTCCCAAAGAGATGCAGCCTCTTTCCAACCTCCACTTCTTACTGTTCATCTCCCCGTAGGATTGCCTGGATGTCTCTTACCCCAAACTGTGAAGACCCCACTCGACGCCTAATTCCAAAGGAAATACAAGCTGGGAGACCAGAAGAGAGAAGTGAAAACACACTCCTTCGAGAGCAGAGCACGTGCCGTGCAGCATGTATGCAATGCACACCTGCCCTTCCATGGAGAGCGAGAGCCACCCATGCCCTCCTCCTCACCTCTCACGCGGCCAGAGGTGGGTGTCTCTGGCCACCAGGCTCTTTGTGGGGCTAAAAGACAATTGGTGGGTCGGCTTGACAGCCAAACAGGAGTTTCCCTCTCAATCTGAAACCTTCTCTCTAAAATTTTCCAAATCCCAAAAGTGGTTTGCCAGGAATAACAGTAGGGAGAAGGCAAGGGCTTTCCACTTTCTCAGGGTGACTTCTCTGAGAAATGTAAAAGCCCACACAGCAGGCCGGGGCCCTGAAGCTCTGGAGGCTTGGGTGTGCCTCCCTGGGTGGCCCTCATCCCTCCCCGGTGCTCAGGGCTGAGTCCCTGCTCCTCATCTGCAACCTAGCCTCTCACATCTGTGCTGAGCAACAAGCCCTTCCCTCGTGGCACGAGCGCCTCCCGAAGCTTTTTGTGACTACCGGCATTCCCGCAAACACCCTTCCTGAGTCCTTGAAAACCTCCAGAAAATCCAGCTTCTGGATCCTGGAGCGAGTCTGTAAAAACACGCCCCTCCGACTCACCGCACCTCGCTTCCCCGTAGCTTTCATCCAGGGCGTGACCCTCAGTCCCAGTAAGTCTTCTTCCCACCACCCCTAACTCCTCCGGCCTCACACACAGACACACGCTCCCCACGCCCCACCCGCCTCACCGCGCTGCTCTGGGCCGCCAGGCTCTCCGGGAGGGGGCGGCAGGTGCTTTGGGTCATCGGCCTGGCAGACACTGTTTGTCCCGGGGCCACCGAGAGAGGAAGGTGGCCTGAGCTGGCCCACAGCCTATCCCCACCCCCTTTTGGTTTTGCTCCGTGGGGTCTTAGCCGGGGCCGGGGCATCAGCAGGCAGGTGTGTGAGGTCAGCAGGGGGCAGATCAAAGAAAAAACTTGCTCCTTCCCCTTTGTCATGCAGAGCGAGCTCGGAAATGATCCCATCTCCAGCGGACTAACAGCTCCCCACACCCCACTTCCCAAACAGACCTCCCCTCCTCTAAAGGATGCCCCCGCCCCCTCCAACCCCTACCCCCCATAAATCCTCCCCGTCCCTGAGGGCAGAAGGTCTGTGAATGCACTGACTGGAACCGAGAGAGATGGAGCAGAGATAGGGCTGGCACCAGAAGCTAATGGCTTTATGGAGGGGAGGGACCAGGTCCAGAGTAGGGAGGACAAGAGAAAAAGCTTCAAAGAATCTCCTTGTCCAAACATCCTCAGCTCCACCTACCAGCCCTTCTCGGGGACTCAAGAGTCAGAGCTGCCCCTACTGCCTGTGGCCTCCGCCCTCCCCCACGTCCCTCCCGCCCACAGGGCCAGCCCACCACCAAGCCTCCTGCAAAACCCTTACTCCACCAACACACACCCTCACACATCCCCATCCACATAGCTGAGCTTTCTCCAGCGGGTGACACTTCTCACCCCCATGGATCCCCCTCACGCCAGTGTCTCTCACTCCATCACACGCCCTTTCACCAGCCCCTGGGAAATCTCTTTGGCTCTGCAAGCCCTACGTGCAGCCGAGGCCACACTGCAGCCACTGTTCCCGAGCCAAGGACAGAGTCAGTGCCAGCTAACAGGCACTGTGGCTCTGACACCCCAGTGCCAGGCTGACAGGTGAGCTAAGGCCGAACTCCCTAGAGCTGCTAATCCCGCCCCTCCGTGCTTCATAAACATAAACAAATATAAACATAAGCCAGGCTCACTCCAGCAGCTGTCTACCAACTTGTGCTTTCCATCAAACTCATTCATAAAAGATTTTTAAAAACTTAAGAAAGAAAGAAAAGGACTCTAGCATGTATGGTGGCCTCTTTCTCTGCCTTCCAGATGCAGCCACCCCTCTGAGTGGTCACCAGCCTCCGCCCTCGCCCGCCCTCACTCGCCCTCACTCACATTCTTTGGTTTCCTCGGACAGGGCTAGGAGGAGGAAAGCGGATGCTGGTGACTGGTGTCACGAGTGTGGGCAGAATGGAAACCTGCCTCAGTGGGACTGGGGAGGAAGGAAAATGTGTGGGGACGGATGGTTTGGTCTTAATGAGGAGGACACATCAGAAGCCCTGTCTGTGGCCACTGCTGAGTCTCACAGCAGGGAAGACTGTTCCTGTGTGGGGAAATAGGACTAGTAATGACCCCAAAGGCAGGGCGAATTCTTTTTGCCGCCTTTGTAATAACCAGAGTTGCCCCCCACAACTAACTAGTTGCTCTTTCCTAGGAGAGGTGTCATTTCAGAGCCACCAAGCAGTTACGTGGGAGAGAGTCCAGGGCCTCTTCGGCGGTGACCGGGAGGCTGCAGGGATGGGGAGATGCAACATTCTCCATCGGGACTCTCCACAGGGCCCGCGTGGGCTGATCAGACGCATCTGCTCTGCTTCTTCATTCAGCCATTCTTTTGTTCAGCAAATTCATTAATCCAATATGCACTAGGGGCCTCACGTGTCCCAGTTACTGCTCTAAGTGCCAGCGATAGGCAATAAGCAAATAAATTCAGGCAGGGTATAGGGGTACTGACCCCTCCCTCCCCACGCAGACCAAAATCTGCAGATAACTTTTGACTCCCCCAAAAGTTAACTGTACTAATAGCCTACTATTAACTGGAAATCCTACCAAGAACATAAAGAGTCAATTAACACATATTTTGTATGTTATATGTATTGTATACTATATTATGATAATAAAATAAGCTAGAGAAAAGATATTATTAAAATTACAAGGAAGAGAAAATACATTTACAGTATTTATTGAAAAAAAAAATCTGTGGCCGAAACCTGGTTTGGCTCAGTGGTAGAGCGTTGGTCTGCGGACTGAAAGGTCCCAGGTTCGATTCCGGTCAAGGGCATGTACCTTGTTGCGGGCACATCCCCAGTGGGGCTGTGCAAGAGGCAGCTGGTCGATGTTTCTAGCTTTCTATCTCTCTCCCTTCCTCTCTGTAAAAAATCAATAAAATATTTTTTTTAAAAAAAGAAAAAGAAAAAAAAAATCTGTGTATAAGTGAACCTGCGTAGTTCACACCCATATTTTTCAGGGATCAACTGTACGTAATATGTTAGGTCCTGTGAATATTATGAGAAAAAAATCAAGCAGGGACTAGAATTAAGAATAAGGGGTGATAAGCTAGTCAGAGAAAGAAAAATACCATGTGATTTCATTTACGTGTGGAATCTAATGAGTAAAATAAACAAACAAAATAGAAACAGATTCATAGATACAGAAAACAGGCTAGCAACTGTTAGAGGGGAGTGGGGAGTGGGGCTGGGTGGAAAAGGTGATTAAAACACACATACACACAGACAAACTCATAGACACGGACAATGTGGGGATTACCAGAAGAGCCTCAAGGTAAAGGAGGGATAAATGGGATGCTGAACACACAAACAGATTACATATTATAGAATTGTACACCTGAAACCTGTATAATTTTATTAACCAATATCACCCCAATAAAGTCAATACAAAACTTTAAAAGAATAAGGGGTAAAACCTTACATTACGTAGGGTCCTTGGGGAACGCGGCATTGCCCAAACCACGGTGCAGCTGGAAGAAGCAGGGGACTGCCCTGCTGCTCACTCCAACCCTGTGGCCTGTCCTGGGTCCTGACGGAGACAGCACCGCCTGCTCCACCAGCACAGCCAAAGGGCTGCCGGTCTGAAAATAGGAACCCTCAGGGCAGGTATGATTCCCAGTCAGGGCTTATAATCAGGATGTGGGTTCGATCCCTGATCAGGTGCCTGCAGGAAGCAACTGATTGATATTTTGCTCACTCTCCCTTCTCTCTATAAATAAATTAAAAAAAAAATTTTTTTTTTAAAACATGCAATACCTATTTAGTCAGGGGTACTGAAAAAAAAAAAAGGTAAATCAGATAACAACATCCCAATTCATAGGAAGTAGCACAAAAAGCAATGTTAATTAAAAAAAAAAAAAAAAAAAAAAAAAAAAAACCAGCAACAACCACCAGGCTGATTGTAAAGTCACTGGTATAAACACACACACACACACACACACACACACACACACACACACACACAGCCTTGTCAGTGGGGGAAGAAAGCCAGACTTCTCCCAACCAAAATGGTGACAGGCTGCTGAAGGCTGGAGGAATTAAGAGAGAATAGCCGTTTTAGAGAGCTGGTGTTTATGTGTACCAAAGGTTCCCCATCTCCTAAAGGATGAAACCAAACACCATCACATTACACAAGACCTTTCAAAACGTGACCCTGCCAACCTTTCCATCTTGTTTTGGTTTTCACTTTGTGCTCCAGAAACCCAAACCGCCTGCCTCTCCAGGCCTCCTTACCACCCACACCTTTGCTTTGCTGACGTCTGGGAAGGGGGTGTCCTCTCTCTGTGCACATCCGGCTCTTTGTCCTTCCGTCACACCCTCAAAGATGCCTTCCAAAGCAGGCTCCCACCCCGTCATTCTCTCCCGAGTTTCTTGCATGTTTTGCCACATTTATTATAATATAATGTGGCATACTTTGGCATGTTTATTTGTATTTTTATTTCTTTCCTCATAAGCTCCGCAGATGGTCGTTCACTATTTTCTCCCAGTGGTTAGGATAGTGTCCAAGGGTACCTAGTATGTGCTCAGTAAGTA